GATGAGTAGGGTTAGCCCAAACTAAAAAGCATACACATACCAAGGGAAACACTCAACAAAATGAATGTGAACCTAGAGAAAATCATGGTGAACCAAAGATCTGCTCAGGGGAAATATCCAAAGCGTGTAAGGAGCCCTCACAATTTAATACATGGCTGGCAATCACCTCACACCTGCAGGGAGGGGCCATTACCCAGGAAACAAAACCTGGGAGTGGATGGAGAAAGGAGAATGGAGCTACTGAAGAAGGAAATGTAAATTGGTGTCCCCATCATTAACAACAGAATGGAAGGTTCTAGAAAACTTCAACCAGAAGCCTGACATCAGCAGTTCTTGGGGATTAAGCTCGGAACAGGTCCCTTACACACTTGCTTGACTTTTTCACTCAAAAATGGCGCTCTACCACATGAGCCATGGCTCCACTTCTGGCTTTTTGACGGTTAGTTGCTGACAAGAATCTTGTCTTTCTACCCCTGCTGGCTTCGAACCCTAATCCTCAGATCTCAGCCTCCTGGGGAGAGTCCTGAGGTAGAAGGGAAGAGCTTGTGAGTGAGGAGCACCCGAGGCACCCAACAATGGGGGACAGGCATCACCCACATCTTCAGAGCCCCGGGGCCTCTGGCTCCATGCTGATGAACACCTGACTGGTCCTTCAGGCTTGGCTTCTTTGGTTCTCCTACCCCATGGGCAATGGAGAGGACAGGGAAACACATTCCCTCCCTGGGCCTATGTGTCCAACATGAGACCCAGTGCCCAGGCACTGTGGGGCCCATTCCTGAGGACCCTCTATGTGCTAAGGTCTGTGAAGGAAGTTCAAATCCCTAGAGAATCCTCAGTTTCTCCCTTGTCAGGGCTCTGCTAACTGCTCTCTGGCAAAAGACAGACAACATGGCACATTTCAGCCAATATTGAATACCAAGTCGTTGTTTTTATGTTGGTGGTGGTGGTAGTGGTGGTCATGGGGCTTGAACGCTGGGCCTAGGTGCTGTCCTTCAGCTCTTCAGCTCAAGGTGATGCTCAACCACTTGAGCCACAGCATCACTTCCGGTTTTCTGGTGGTTCATTGGAGATAAGAGTCTCACTGACTTTCCTGCCTGGGCTGGCTTTGAACCATGCAATCCTTAGATCTCAGCCTCCTGAGTAGCTAGGATTACAGGCGTGAGCCATCGGTGCTCGGCTTACGTTTCTTAAAGTTTGTAAAGTTTTACCCAGTTTAAGAAGCTTCAGTTCTCCACCAAGCATACCTATAACTCCAGCCACTGAAGAAGCAGAGGCAGGAAGATCTCTACTTCAAGGTCAGGCCAGGCAAAGTTACTGAAACCCTCAAAAACAAAATACTCACTTAAAGGGCTGGGGGCGGGGGAGGATGTGCTTCAGATGATAAAGTGATTGTTTAGCAATCTTGAAGCTCTGGAGTTCAATCTCCAATACCCCAATAGAGAAGGCAGGGAGGGAGGGAGGATGGGAGGGGCAAGAGGGAGGGAGGGAGGGAGTCAGCCCCCTTCCAGCAACTCCAGCATTCCCCAGGACCTGGCAGGTGTCAGGCAGCTAGAGTAAGTGTTAGCAGGAGGTTTGACAGCAAAAGGAGGAGGGAGATTAGGGAGGTCAGGATTGAGACAAAATGCTTTTCTTCTTTTCCTTTTAAGGTTTCTTGGGGGTGGAGAGGAGTGGTAAAGAGAGACAGATGTGAGAAGAGGAGTTGGGGGAGAGAAAGAACCTGGGCTTGATGGAGTGTGATCTTGAAGATGTAGGTGAGGGGCATTCAAGATATCAGCTAAGGGTGGACGGTCAGTCCAGAGGGTCTCCTGGGGTGGACATTGAGAGATCAATGGTCAGGAGTGTGGAGGAAGGAAAGCAAAGGCCTGGATCAAAGCCCTTGGGAAAACCAGCGCATCAAGAAGGAGACTAGCACTCTACCACTTGAGCCATAGCACCACTTCCTGTTTTCTGGTGGTTTATTGGAGATAAGAGTCTCATGGACTTTCCTGCCCTGACTGGCTTTGAACCTCGATCCTCAGATCTCAGCCTCCTGAGTAGCTAGGATGACAGGCATGAGCCACCAGTGCCCAGCTTAGTGTTTGCTTTTAAACACAGGTGAGGATGATAAAGCCCAAGTCATGGATGCCACATATAAAATGCATGATTTCTCTGCTTACACTGGACTTCAACCTGCAAGTATTTTAATTAAACCAGCATGTAAATGTCAGAGATATCAAAAGAACAAAGGCATTATTAATTGGAGAACCAAGGTGACCAGCCCCTTTATTCTTTTAAATTATTTCTTCCTTCAGTTCTGATCTCAGTAACAATCACTCCTCCTGAATCTTATGTCCACAATAATGTTCCTGGATTGAAAGCCACCGTTTTATTGCTTATCTCTTGGGCTCTTTCAAAACAAGTAATTATCAGATCAACATTTAGCTTACTGGCCTTGAGTTGAATAGGTAATTTCCCCCCTGAGTCATAGCCGTGGAAGAATTCAAGCCAAAATTCCAGGCTGGCTTTAAGCAATAAATACTGTAATTAACTTCTAACCAAGCAAGCTAACATTTTGCTTGGAGAACACAGCATTTTCCCAAACAAATGTCTTTCAAATAAGAACAATTTCATGCCCTCTTTCTTCCCATATGGTACTTTGCAGTGTTTGGGAATAACTAGAGTGTTGTGCAAGACATATTCTTGGAGCCTTTAGACTCTAGTTCTCAGCCAGGCATTGTGGCTCATGCCTGTAATCCTAGCTACTCAGGAGGCTGGGATCTGAGGATTGAGGTTAGAAGCCAGCCTAGGGAGAAAAGTTCGTGAGACCTTTATCTCCCATTAACCACCAAAAAACTGGAAGTAGAGGTGTGGTTCAAGTGGTAGGAGAAAAAGCCAAGTGACAGCACTAGACCCTGAGTTCAAGCCCCCCTCCCCCAAAAAAGAGTACTCTCTTCCTCATCTTGTTAGAAGTAAAAAAAAATTTTTTGAAACAGTGAAGCAGTTCCTTTTCTTCAGAGCTTTTCAAGGCTCTGTAGCAATCCTCCTGAGCCTGGCTAAAAGCTTTTGTCCTGTCTACAGATACAAATACAGCAGATGAAATGCTTCTTGTGATCAGTGAGGCCAGGAGCGGGCCACTGGGGGATGACCAGTCCAGCTAGGAGCAGGACTGGTCGCAGGAATAGACCAGTTTCTTGTTCTTCTACTAATACCGTCTTGTGTCTATCCGGTCCGTGAAATAGGGGAGGTGAAGGTCTGATGTGGGATCTTGGGAGAATTTATGTGTGCCATTTTATTTATTTTTTTTGGTCAGTCGTGGGGCTTGAACTCTGGGCCTGGGCGCTGTTCCTCAGCTCTTCAGCTCAAGGCGAGCGCTCTACCACTTGAGCTACAGCACCACTTCCTCTTGGGAGAATTGAAAACAAGGGAACCCCTCCCATAATTCCCTGGGCTCCTGCTCCAACAATGAAAGAAAGCCTAAGGGAGGAGGTCTGAGCAGGCCCTGCCCTCCAAGAGGCTCCTATGCCCCCCCATCTCCCTGGGCTCCCCACCTTCCACAGAGAGACTGGCTTCCCTGCTTTTGTTTCACTTCCAGACAAACTTGGTGTGTCTGCTTTCGGCACTAAAATAAGCAAATAAATACTGTTCTGAAGTACAGACAGACAGACAGAGAGACAAGACCCGAAAGGGAGGGGGGGAGGGGAGGCGGGATGCAGATAGAAAGCTGAAGTCCAGCTTGGAGATGGAAGGGTTGGAGGTGTGATGTCCTGGAGGAGATTAGCTTAGGGTAAAGGCAAGGCAGAACCCAAAGGAGGAGAGTAAGTCATCCCTCAACTGTTCAGAAAGAGACCCAGCATGAGACCGGTTGCCACTGTCTCGTATGATATGCATGTGCATGTGCATTTGCATGTGCATGCATGTGTGCAAGCATTTACACTTGTGCATAGTGTGTGTGCATGCATGTGTGTGGGGGCATGTGTGTATATGTATGTAACTGCTGCCACACATAGAACTAAGAATTCACAAACTGACATGTTGGATTAAAATCCTTCATACAACTACTTAAAGACAAATACAGATGCACATGCAGACATACATGCACGAATAGGTTGCATATATGTGTTCATATCTGTATGCGCACATCCATGCACTCATGGTGTACACGCATTCATGCACATGTGTGTGTACATGTATGCCTTGTGTGCTCTGCTCATACATGCATACGTGCAGGCATACCGAATTCCTCCAGCAGTACACTCCCACTAGCCATGGCAACCAGCCATCACAGGTGGAGTGTGCTTCTGTCTACGTAGGCCTGGTTTGGGGAAGTCCATCAAAAAAATATTGCTGAAAGTGTCTTTAAGATTTTTTTTTTTTTTGGTCAGTTGTGGGGCTTGAACTCTGAGCCTGGGCGCTGTCCCTCAGCTCTTCAGCTCAAGGCGAGTGCTCTACCACTCTGAGCTCCACTTCCAGTTTTCTGGTGGTTCATTAGAGATAAGAGTCTCACAGATTTTCCTGCCCAGGCTGACTTTGAACCTCGATCCTCAGACCTCAGCCTCCTGAGTAGCTAGGATTACAGGCATAAGCCACCGGCTCACCTAGGCCCAGAGTTCAAGCCCCATGACTGACAAAAAAACAAAAAAGTCTGAGCCTATTTATGGGCCAGATTCAGCCTGTCAGTGGAGGACAGGACTTAGGGTTTCCTTAGTATTAGGAAATGTCAATACCTTTCCTCAGCTAACTCCTGTCCTGCCCTCTGATTGGGCTTTCTCCCAACCGCTCCTCTTCATGACAACCATGTCTACATCCACAGGGACTGGACGGGGTTGGAGGAGCTGAGAGGGTGCACTCCTGATCAGATGATGGGGTCACTGTGACCCAGAGGCCCGGCTCTGTGCCTGGCACACTCACAGCGGGTTACAGCGGACATGCAGTGAGGGACGGAGCCAGCACCCGGGGTAGGGAGTTGGCCCGTGACACACCCACCCTGGGCTAACCGAGGGCTTGTCTCCTCTCCTCTCCAGCACTGCGGAGTCGCTCTGGCCGCTCCATCATCAATGGGAACTGGGCAATTGACCGGCCCGGGCGCTATGAGGGTGGAGGGACCATGTTCACCTACAAGAGGCCAAACGAGATCTCCAGCACAGCGGGGGAGTCCTTTCTGGCTGAAGGTCCCACCAATGAGATCCTGGATGTATATGTGAGTATCTAATGAGATCTGGATGTGTGTGTGTGTGTGTGTGAGAGAGAGAGAGAGAGAGTTGGGATCAGACCCTGGATGTGCATATGTGTGGGAGTTGTGATCAGATCCCAGATGTGCATGGGGGGGGGTGAGCTGGGATCTTTCTGGACTGTTCTCTGGAGGTTGTGCCCTGATGCTTCTGAGGAGAGAACATGAGCAGCCTTTCACACACAGCCTGTCTGACCTCCACTTCCCAGCCTGGCTTCCACGCTTGGTTCTCTTGTTTGCCATCCCCCTCTCAAGATGCCCACAAACCTTCAGTGTCACCAGATGCTTATTCGACCTCTGAGTTTCCTGACCCCTAAAACCAGTTGTACTGGGTAAAGCAAATCAGAGGCAGACCTGGCCTTTATTTCATGAACTGGCTCTCCTCCAGGTACATGGCAGTTCGTGCTAATCACTCCCATGTTATTTTTTTCTTTTTTTTGTTGGTCGTCGGGTTTTGAACTCAGGGTTTGGGCCCTGTCCCTGAGCTCTTTTTGCTCAAGGCTAATGCTCCACAAATTTGAGCCACAGCACCACCTCCCATTTTCTGGTGGTTCATTGGAGATAAGAGTCTCACTGACTTTCCTGCCTCGGCTGGCTTTGAACTATGATCTCAGCTCTCAGCCTCCTGAGTAGCTAGGATGACAGGCCTGAGCCATCAGCGCCCTTGTCCTGTGTTCTTTTTGTGGCAAAAGGAAGCAAATCCAAATGCCAGTTATAGCGGACCAGGGGTTCTAGAAGATTCCAGATAACGCTGTAAAGCTCAGAGCAACAATATCAAGCCATATTACAGAACTTCCCTACCTCACAGAAGGCAGAACTGTGATTTACAGAAGATCAAAATATGAAGTTGCCCAGAATTCAAAGAAAAAAGGTGGGGGAGAGGGGGCTGGGGAGAAGGTCCTTATTTAAGAAAGAAAGAAATCACTGGATCCCAGCCTTCTGGAAAGATCAGGAAATACAGAAATGACAAGAAATAAAGGTTTACAATCGTGTGTGGCTAAAAAGAATGCACTCACCCATGCGTGTGTGTGCCCGCATGTCTACGTGACACTTGGCGTGTGTGATCAGACTGAAAACACGAGCCACTTTCTTTGCGATCATTTTTTTTCCCCAGCTTCACAGCCCTTCTGTGGCTTTCCTCATGGGTGAATGGCCCAGGAACTCTCGTTGGAGTTAATCTGGGGTGGTGTTTATTTTTCATGTTTTCTATTCTGTTGTCTGTGGGTTGGGTTTTGTTTGTTTGTTGCCTGTCCTCTTGATTGGTTGACGTGATGTATTTCTCATGGTCTCAGAGCCAGGGTTGACTTGCCCGGGCCCAGGTACCTCCTGCCATCCAGGGAGACTTGGCTTCTCTTGTCCCTGTGTCCCTAACCCTGACCCTATCTCTTTGTGTTCCTCCCATTTTCCATACATGAAAGCAGGTGAGGCTCAGAGCCAGCGGCAAGGGCCTGGGGCAGACCTGAGCACACCTCCCAGGCCCAGCCAGGACACTAAAGGACAATGAAGTTCCAGGCTCCCCCTTGTCTGCGTGGCTGTCGCGCCCCCTAGTGTTCGTATGGAGTCCCTGCAGTGGAAACATTGTTACCTCAGTGAGACAGTATGACCGCAGAGTTGCTGGTCTGAGCCTTGCTTGCATCCATCTGCACGGGAGATCTGCACACAGGTTCTGCTCCCGTTGCTCCTGTCCTTCCCACCAGGAACTTGATGAACTCTTCACGCTTGTCCTAATTTCCTTCTGATTCAAGATTATACATTCGCACACTGGGTGGCCTCCCGTGGCTCACCTCTGTAAACCTAGCTCTTCAGGAAACTGAGATCTGAGGATCGCCGTTCAAAGCCAGGCCAGGCAGGAAAGTCCGTGAGACTCTGATCTCCAATGCACCACCAAAAACAAAAACCAGAAGTGGAGCTTTGGTTCAAGTGGTAGAGTGCCAGCCAGCCTTGAGCCACAAAGCTCAGGGACAGCACCCAGGACCAGCACTTACAGAGAGAGAGAGAGAGAGAGAGAGAATGTGCTTAATAGAAGTGGCCGGGTGGAAATGGAGATTTATGAAAGGGGACGTCGTATCTTTAGGGCATCAGCGTTCCGGAGCGTGTGCAGGTCTCCTTGGACCCCAGTGCCAAGGGTGTGCCATTGTGGTGCTTATGCATGCACTGTGGGCAACCACACACGTGCATTTGTGTGTTCTAGATGATACACCAGCAGCCCAACCCGGGCGTGCGCTACGAGTACGTGATCATGGGCACCAACGCCCTCAGCCCCCGGGCCCCGCCTCCCAGGAGACCAGGTAAAACCCACCTCTGAGTCACTTCTTCTTTAGGCCTGCCTCCTCCTCCTCCTCCTCCTCTTCCTCCTCTTCCTCCTCCTCCTCCTCCTCCTCCTCTTCCTCCTCCTC